ACTTTACTTAGAAAAATTGCTAAAACACAATTTTATCTTGATGCTTTTCGATCAATATGGTTTGGACAATTATTTATTGATAATTGATTGAAAATTAATAAGATGGATTGCACACACACACTTGAACTTGTTAGATTATTTTCTAAATGTTTCATTAATATTTGTAAGTTAAAATTCGTGTTGTGATTATTTCTTGAGAATTGAAATTGATTGAATATTCTGTGGAGTTGAAATTTTCGTTCAAAGATATCTCTGAAAAATTTCTGGAAATTTGGATCATGTGTGGAATTGAATGACTTTGATTGACTGCTCAATGATTTGTTCAGAATTTTGTTTTTAAAAAATAATAATAAAAAAAATGAAAAAAACTATAAAATTCAATAAGATTTTTTATTTATTTATTTATTTTTTGATCATTGAGTAATTCAAAAAGTCTGTTAGAAAATTTTCTTGAAAAATTTCAAATCTGCCATGTCTCTACCAGTTCATAGATCCTTGAAAAATTTCAAATCTGCCATGTCTCTACCAGTTCATAGATCCCCTACCGGTTCTAGGTACAAAGTAGTAAGGCCAAATCATTCTAGAGCTTGGCTACCGGTACCACAAGTTTGGTATCGGTTCCAAAATGGTCCTCACATTGCAAAGGCTCACTGCCAAGTGGGAACTGGTTCTCACATTGGCTATCGGTTCCTAGCAACATAAAAGGGCTTTAAGATTTGGCATGTTGTTGAGTATTGTTGTATAAACCAAATTCTCTCTATATATATGCACTCTCTCTATATATATTTCACATATAGATATCTTTACAAATAAGTTTCAAACTTGCATCATATCATTGCATACTCTCCATTGCAAATTGAATCAACCTATTGAAGGATGAAAATTGAAGATTGAAGATTGGGATTTGAAGAGAAATTTAAAGTTCGAAAGAGGAGTTTCGGTTTGCAAAATTTCTAGTGGATTTGGTTAAGATTTTGTTGAAGATTCTTGGGGTTTGACATTGAAGGAATTAGGTTTGATATTGTGCTCATCTATGCTTGATTCTTTGTTGATTGTTGGGGGTTTTGAAGAATCAAAACAAACTTGTCAGAACAAGTGTTGAAGCGCACTCCAAGTGTTCGACAAAATTACTAAGTGAACTCCGAGGTTTCAAACCAAAAATTTTCGAACACAAGATGCCTCCAAAATTGTCTTGGAAGGCTAAAGGAAAGGGTAATGCTTCTCCTCCACCTCCAAAGAAAGCCGAACGTCGATTTCCATCCGGGAACCACAAGAGGGTTCGCATGCTTCTAGGGATGAACCAAGTTCGCCTATACGTTCTTCCTTACCTTCTACTGAGATACTACCTGGGTATCCTTTAGATTCTAACATCGGGAAGGTTGAGTTTACTCAAGAACACTTCTACAATGAGCATGCATGGAAGGTATACACTAAGGTGTATAAAGATGGTCCGATTAAGTCGGAACGGAATGTGAACTTGAAGAAGTTCAAAGAAAGTCTAGGGAAAAAGCTTGTTGACTACATTGAGAAGCATAATTAGCTTTTCTTCACAAAGATGGAGAGTACCTACAGTCCAGATATGGTTCAGTATTTTTACTCCAATATCCAAAAAGTTCATGATTCTGGATATTTTGAAGTATCATTATTTGGCAAGGACTATGTGGTTAATAAAGAGGTGATCGAAAAAATTCTTTGTATACCCAAGAGTCTTACAAGCACAGGCTATCGTCTTTCACTTGACAAGTCAGGACTAAAGTGGGAAGATATTTGTAATGCCTTGTGTGTTCCAGATTCGCCGAGATATCCCGATTATATACCGTATCGTTATCTCACAGATGAAACGGCGTTTCTGAATTTGTTTGCCATCTCCAATCTTGGTTACTTCGGGAAGAAGGATGTTATCTCCTCAGATCGTGCAGAGTTATTATATCTTCTATCTATTGATGCACTGATACATCTTGATGCTTCTATCTATAGATTGATGGTAGCACACTACAAGAACAATACCAAGAAGAAGTCCTCTCCATTTCCTATGATCATTATGGGTTTGTATTGGCAGTTTGAGATTCCACTTCCACCCCGTGTTCATCATATTGAGATTATGTCTGAGATGGATGTTAGGGCTTTTAATAAGTTTAAATCCGCAAGGGCTTCATCTAGGAAAGCTAGCAGGGGTTCAACTGCTTCGTCATCTCTTCCTGAGATTACTTAGCTTTTTCCGACTAAATGGAATTTTACCACACTAGATACTAATCTGCTCTACTCATGACTCTTCAGAATCAGAAGGCCATGATGGATGTTGTTCTTGATCTCAATGCTGAGGTTGAATTTCTTTGAGAGTGGAGGACGTGTAGTACTTTAAAGGACATCTACAGGCCAGCCCCTCCAGATCCATCACTTATTCCTGGGGATAACAGAGATGAGGAGGATGAGACAGATGAGGATGCAGAGGAAGATGAGGATGGTAGTGGTAGTGACACTGATGATGGTGATGAGGAGATTTTGACTTTTACTGTTCCATTTGCTGGAGATAATATTGATGCCTGATTCTATGTTAATATCATACATGCATCACTTTTTGTTCAGTTTTTACATTATTATGACTTGATATTTTCGGATATTATCTTTTGACTGCTAACATGTAATAAACTGATTACTGTTTTCTCTATTTAATATTGTTTCTACTCTCAATGACCTGTTTAAATTGATTTGTCAATTTTGTTCCAAAAAGGGGGATAACAAGGTTATATTAAGGGGGAGAAACTCTGAAAAAAAATTCTAAAATTTTTGGATAATTTATTCTGGGGGAGTTTTTAACCTGTTTTATTAAACTTTCACTGGTAGTTTTGCTTGATCTATATGCAGGAATTCAAGTGAAATTTTGTCCAAGAGTAAAAAATAACAGAGATAAAAAATTCCGTGTTTCTTTAGACTGTTGTAGTTTACTTTTCTGCTTTGGGTAGATTATAAATTGTTTTTAGGGTTTTGTCACGAAATTGCCAAAGGGAGAGATTGTGAGATATTTTTTTGTAATTGGCATATTTTGGTTACAAAACAAGTCCTAATCGAGTTGTAATTTCAGTTACCATATTAGACTCGACATCGATTGCGGAATTTGAAGGTTGTCCAGAAGAAGAAAGTACTGTTGATCATCGAAAAGTAAAGAACAACACATTAGGACCTCGTTTCCCACTTAAAACACAAATACCTATATGGTATATTTTCAGAAGTTCTAAAAACAGAAAATCCAAGTTCAAATCGGATTCTGTCAAGTAAGAACTGGTACCTGAGTTTGGGAACCGATTCTAGAAGCTAAGATTCGAAGAACTTCATTCTATCCTTTGGGAACCGGTTCTCGGAGTCCTGATTACAAAAGGTTTCTAGTTTCCTTATTCTATTTAATTCCTTTTTTATCCAACTTTTCTTTCAAAGTCCTATGCACAATATTTCCTTTATTTTCAGAAGGAATAGGACTTTGCAAACCTCTATATAAACTATGTCATACACATAGGTTTAAAGATGGCTTTTGTTATGCAAATTCATTATTCTTAAAAGCCTTAGGAAGATTATTTTTGTAGAAAATCGGAATTGATTTTTCTAACATCTTTCTAGAATACATACACATAAACACATAGTGAGTTCAGAGTTGTGGTATTCAAATCCTGATCATGATCATGATCATACAATGGCATCTACATCGATCAGACGAAAGCAGATCTTCTTCTATATCAAATTCAGATGATTGAAGAATAGAAGTAAAAGCGATCACACTTTGAAAGGGTTGGAGCATTCGAGGAGTGTTGTCGAATCTACCTACTACTCTTATACAAATATCAAGCATAAGCCTGAGGTCAAGTTGCTGTTGGATGGGGAGTCGCAAAGCTAGAGGATTGTCAACAGTTGGTATTTGGTAGAATGATAGAGTGTGAGCCAGAGTCAAAGTTCAGTGTACTTTGTTTCAGGCATAGTGGATCAGTTTACTTTGGACTACACAGTCCACGAGGTTTTTCCCATACAAACAATTGACGTCATCTCTAACTTTATTTTGCTTTATTTTATATTACATGATATTGATTTATTAATTGCTAAAATAAAGAAAGTTGGAAAAGAGACAGATCTGTTTTAAAATAATCAAAACTTTCTAAATATTCCGCTGCGTACAACTCACAATACACACATTAATACCATGGAGAATTTACTATTATATAGTATGGACAAAAATCATTCTGGTGGAGGCATGGATGAGTTGTCAATGCATAGATAAATTACTATTTGAATTGTACGGATGTAAACATATTCTTGAAGCCATTTATATTCTTGAAGCATGATAGAGTTGCCAATGACCATTTAATCTCGATAACTATATTTTTCATATAGAAGCAATTTTGAATTTATATCAATAGAGTTTCAATCCACAATCCACGGAACTGTAACACATTAGCAATTTGCTCTGTGGGTTAATCACTACATTTTGATTCAATTAGAACTTAATACTATCTTTTGCCCCTATTTGGCATTTTTGTTTTCTTCCTTCCTTTATCTCAAATTCCATTGGTTTGGTTGGAGGAAATCCATCCTCCAGCCATGGGATTATGTTTCATCATGTCTTTCTTCTCTTCGTAATCTCGAAACCTTGACCCTAGACATAGATTAGAATTCTTGGGTGAACATCTTTTTTTTTTTTTTTCCGGTAAGTAAGGGTGAACATCTTTACAATGATGAATGCATTTAATTTATATTTCATAAGAATCCACGTCATATAATGAAAATTGAAATTGAAAAATTTTAATTAGTTCAAACAAACAAATGCATAATGGTGAAGATTATATATGATACCACATCAACGAGATTATAATTTTATTTGATGTTGATGGCCATCACGACAGACTGCAAGAACTACTTGTACCATCACAAAGATCTAAAGATAAGACAAAAAAAAACGAAACACAGAGAGGAAACGCAATGCGACTCTGTGGCCAGGTTAAGATTGGCTCTACTGCTCATTTTTGGTTCTGCATGGCCATGACTTTCGACCAAGATGGCCTTGCCAAGATATCGGTGCACCATGCGCTGACATGGGGGTGCGAATCGAACAGCTTCTTGGCCTGAGTTCCCATCAAGTACTGAATATTAGGGAGGTGGTGAAGATCTGCAATGGTGAAGCAGTCAGAAGCCAAGTACTTGGACTTAGCCAACCGAGACTCGTACACGTCCAGAACCTTAGCCAGCTTGCCCTCGTTCTCCTCCACCGCGGCTGCATCCGTCTCCATGCCGAACATTTTCTTTATAGCAAGCTCCCAGGTCAGCTTCATAGCCGGCGGGTCAAACTGGTGAGCCTCCACCTCCATCCACACAGACGCAATTGCCATCTTCTTTGGATCTTGGATTAAAAGTTGCGTCCCCTTATCATTGTAATTGTGTGCAATGTATTTGGTCATTGCCCTTGATTCTGCATATACCCAAAGTGTCAAAACATCATATACACACATAAGCAAGGATCTTGCTCAACTCTTTTATCTTATTTGAATTCATTCAGGTTCATATAGTATTGCCAAAAGTTTTACACTATATATATATATATATGAATATTATGAGGTCACCTATGATAGTTGTCGTTTAATTTACTACATTGTAGCTATAAAAAACAAGAGTAATTATAAGTCATCGGCCTAAAATTATGTAAGTAAGAGATGACGTTATGATGATGTTTGACATCATGAAATGTCATCTCCACTCACATAAAAAAAGTCTGATACATCCGACTTTCCAACTATTTATTATTATCCAAAAAATAATGCACAAAGTTATGTAAATGTAATCACATGCATAATGGCAATGGAATCAATTGTACCGAAAAGCTTTAGATCTCCATCTTCCATGGCGGGTATTTGTCCAAATGGCTGCATCAATTGGATTACAACTGTGTGAGCTGCAAACAAGTATTAGATTGAAATCTTGTTTTATATATTTATATGCTTACATTGAGAGAAAGGAATGGTTCTTTTTTATGAGCTCCGCCTTTCATATCGACGTTGACAAACTCGAACTGGAGCTCTTTCTCATAGAGGGCAGCGAAGACTCGCATTACAGCGGGCGAGAACACACTTCCATGGACTTTGATGGATGCCATGACTGCAAGAATGGTGTTTGGTTTGAGAACAATGTCAAGAAATTGAGAGAGAGGGATGAATTGTGAAAGATGTGCAACTTCTTTTAACTAATGTAATGTGCCTTGAAACACACCATTTCAGGGATATTAGGCATTCGATAAGTTTGAACTAAACAAACTCAAAGTCAAATTATATCACTTTATCTTAGGAATCTGTTATGAGAGCTTGAACTCCAAAAGTTCTTCCGATTTTAGTTCATTTTATTTACCATATTTAGGATATGTCACAATGTATACAATTCTTATTGCTAAATAAGTTTATAAAATAAACCCATCAACTAAATATATTGGAGCATTTCTGATTTTCGGCAAGTGCTTAACAAATTAACATGTCAAATTTAATATGAGGAGGGTAAATAATAGTGGACCTACTGTCTAGTATAATTTTAATATATTTTCTAGCCAACAACTGAACGTTATCAACTCTGACTCGACTCAGTTCGTAAGCACGAAATAGTTTAGTAATACTAAATTCGACTCTTTTGCTATACGATTCTAGCTTGATTAAACTCGAATAGTTAAGTTGGTGAACAAGCTCATATACATAAAATAACATTATATTCAAATTATTATATTTAAAAGTAGCTCATATATACAAGTTATTAGCATTTTCCACACAAGTTTAATCCAAGTTCATACATGCCTTTTATGGGCCCAATAATAAGTACTTTAGTTTTAGAAGCACATCTTACCAATAAAGTCCATGGCCTAGATCATGATTTCAGCACAGCTTTCGCAGTCCCTTTGGCCTATGCAACGACAATGCTTCCACTTCATGGACAACATTAAGGCTAGTTTATCTCTCGACCTATAGTTTAGTTTTCACTTTTTGATAATATTGTTGATGGTATCGGACATCGATCGAAGGTTGGAATTTCAAGTTGGGGAAGTAGCAATGAAGATTAGAGAAGATTGGGTGATTAATGGCTGAACTTGAAAGCCAATTAAAGGAGATGGTGGCCATTTTTTGTCTCCAAAAATGGTTTGATCTCTGACTTGATTAATTTATATATATATATGAATATATATATTGAGCTCAAATTTGTTAAAATACTATAAAGTGGAGCCCCGTCACCTCTCTCCCAGTCAAGCCTAAACAACCTAAAACATAGTTTCGCTGGTCTTAGTTCATTTGCGATGTCAAATTTTGGACAACATCCCAATTTCAAATCAAAAGTTCTAATACCAGTTTGTTATTGTTGAAATATATAAATATTTCTAGATAATTGTAGCAAAATTATCCACCAATCATGGTGATTCGGTCAATTTCCTTCTAATTATAAATATTTCTATATAACGGCAGAACAAAATCCTTCACCAATCATGGTGCCTCCTTTGACTATTATACACGTTCCATATATTGTTATCTTTATTATGCCTATGTATAGGCTCTTGTACTTAAGCAATATACAGATCTCAATAATAAAAATGTAGCCCTTAGTGGCTCTTTGTCCATGCATGTGTTGGTAAATATATATGTTTCACGTGACATTTAAAATATAACAGCCCTTATACTAATATGCCATGAGATAATTAACAATATGTTAAGAAATAATTAATTAAATATGCAACTATATATTTAATTAAATATGCAAAATAAAGTAATAAATTAATAAACAATAAATAAAGAACCTGGACTGAGGCTAGTATTGAATACTATGTCCTTAAGACAGATTCGTCCCGCTATGGTACTAACGGACTCAGTAGCGTCTATTTCCTAAGATACAACGGTCTACATCCACTAATAACAACACTACAAAGTCGTGGATATAGTGAATCTCCTCCGTGTAATACTCTCTCTGACTCAAAAATACATATATACTATATAAATGCTAAGTTGGGTGCAATCCGAACCAAATAGTTTGGACCAATCTTAATATGGCTCGATGAAATTGGATTAGGGTCTAAGTGGTTCGGACCACTTAACTTATGGTTTAAACCCACTTGGGTTGGGTTCAAGTCTAGAGAGGGAGATAGAAGAAAATGAAATAAATGATTTGCAAATGATTCAAAAGGGGGTATTTATAGGCAACAAGGTGCCTTTTTAGGTGGGTGCAACCCTTTGGAAAAAAACTAAAAAGTAGTTTTTAAGTAAGGTGCCTTTTTGGATTAGGTGTGTCTCTTCTTCATTGGACACAACTATTTATATGTGTCTCTTCATCATTAGACACAACCATTTATATGTGTTTGTTCACACTGGACACATCCACTCTAATTGGTTGCAATGGTTCACATGGTGTCTGTTCACTAATAGACACATCCACTCCAATAAGTTACAATGGTTCATATGAATAGTTATGTCTGTTAGTTTTGAGTTACATCTTTTCATCCAATAACCAACCAATAATCGCACCTATTTAGTCCAAGGCATCTATTGATGACTAATCACATAATTTTCATTCATAATTTCTAACAATCCCCCACATGAATGGAAATTGGCTACTTAAATGCAAAAGATGATCATGCAGACACGAAAGAGAGTATAGTCGAAAAGTTACTGCATTAGGATTGGTAGCTTTTGGCTTTTGGCCTTGAACCTTCCCTAGTGTATTATTATCGGATTTACTGGCTAACTAGTGAAAAGGATGTCTTGAACTGTTCAGCCTTTTGTGTAAACTAAGACAATAACAAACACACAGTAGTCTTCCTCACAGAGTTAGTTCTCATTGTTGTGTTCATTTTGGCCCTAAACAACTCCTGGCATTCATGAGTGCTCTAGAAAACATAGCCTTTATAGTTCTCATAAAGCGGCCCCACTTCATACTCATATAGGTGACTTCTTATTAAGAATATCCTATTATACCCCACTTGAATTTTTAAGGTATTAGAGTCATTAAAAGCATAAATTATTTATAATCCTTGTTATAGGTAGCACTGTCTTATCATAGAAATGGGCAGAAGATTTATATCTTCCCAGTGCTTTTGTGAGTCACTCAGAATTTTTGTTATCCCTTTGAACCTAAATCTTGGGATCTCTAGTCAACTAGGTTGGGTTTCCATTAAGGTGACTCGTTAGCTTTTAGCTTTTAATCCTATTCCCCTCGATGATCTATACAATTGCTCTCTAGTACAACCCTCAATTTTATATGTGGCCACAAGGTTGTGTTTAGAAATATTACACTCTGCAGAGATTTCTCCAGGTGAGAGCAACTGTATACTTTGTGCTCAAAAATTGCTTATTGTTAGCAATATCATTTTCTTTAGTGGCACAGATATAGACTTACTTTGAAATATCCTTTATGTGAAGTCTATTGACTTTCCTATTTGATTTATTTAAAGTTTCTAACTTTGAGTTATATTAAGAACATACAACTACACATTTAATATAAAAGACATATCCACTCTTGGATTTGAAGTCTTTAATATCCCACATCCAGACTGCATCACTGTTACACCTCCAATTTAGTTAGATAGCTCAATTTATGCAATATTAGATTTAGAGTGTATCTCAACTACCTAATTTATTGTTTTTCAGTGATCGGATCCTGGATTGAAAATGTGCAATTAAGCACAATTATTAAGATGCCTTACAATCTCAACTAATGATATACTTTGACTAGTATTTATATTTGAGATTTTCATCTACAAAAGTTAGCTAGGCTTTTGTTATTATAACAAGTATTATCTCACTCTCACTCTATTGAGAATACACTATGTTATCAGATGTTAAATCTTTCATATCAAATATACCAATTAGTATATCATTTATTTTTTATGGTATACAATGACTTATGCATCACATTTATGTCATTGTCTTAGTAGTAGCTTTAATCCATTCAAGGACTTATAAGCTTGCACATTTGACTTTTCAACTGAAACAAATAACTCAGCACGTTAACTGGAAAAAGAAGTCTTCTAGTTGTTCCATAATATTTTCCTCATAGGAAATAATATGCACTATTGTTATAATATTATAAACAATTTTTAGTTTTATCCAAAATCTCTTAGGATTAAGAATCCCTACATTTATAAGTATTTCTTATCTGATGAGGTAACTTTTATCAAATTTCATCTATGGACAATATCCCCCCATAACTTTAGGATAATCCTGAAATTATATATATATATATATATATATATATATATGATATATTTCTTATGGTTTTCCAACTCCTGAAATATCAAATATTAAATATTTCATCTCATCTACTTTTCCAAGGTTCTATATTCGCTTCTCAACAAGCATGTATACCAGTCTCTAGTGCATATGTATTCACTTTATCTCTAGCTTATTCTTATAATATGTTAGAGATGTTACTGTGAATTAATGTTAGAGATATTAATTACGTTGTGCTCTAATTAATATTTGCTTCTACATCTCTTGTGTAATGACCCGGTCATTTTCCTTCCTTTCTTTTTTCGGTAATTTCTTTTTTTCGTCTTATTCCTATTTCGTCTTTTTCTCGTTTATCGTTTTTCCTTACATAACCTCACTTTTTGTGCTCGAATTTGATTCTGTTTTGCATGCATTCATAATAATTGATTTCCAAGATAATTGTTTTTTTACTTTCATAGGAAACATGCCAGTTACTTACTTTTTTTTATAAAGAGCATAGATGCGTAGTTTATTGAAAACATTCTTAATTTTTGGGATTTTAGTGTAATTATGAAATGTAATTATTTTTCATCTTAGGGACCACTTTACAATTTAATTTGAAAAATATTTTGGAAAAGGACCTTTTTTGCAATATTTGGAAAGTTTGACAAGTATCACACTCTCATGGAGCCACTTGTTGGCATTGGGGTAGAGTTACTTGGAAGCTTAATCTTTTGACATGTGGAGGGTGGAGATTCACCTAGTTGTTAGCCTAGGATAGGTGCACTTGTTGGCTTGGATGGTTAATAAGTGTAGGCTTTGGATTAAGTCTTGGAAGGAGCCAGGGATTAGTGACAAGTATAGGTTCCAAATTAAGTCTTGTACTTAAAGTGTGTGAAGACCATAGCGTAAAAGCACATAGTGA